TTTAATCCGTTACAAGTGTTACTAAAGTCTCCTGTTGCTCAAAGGGATTAGAAAGCAAATATTTATCTCTGTTATTTCAGTTTATTTACTTTGTATTTGACTGAGCTTTGAATATTACCAATTTCACAGAAAATTACCCGCTGGCAAGAACCAGGATCAGAGGTACTAGCGATTCCAGCTGTCACAGTTCTCCTGGGAAGCTCTGGGACAATGAAGTTGCTTTTTGCCCTCTTTTGTGAGCTGGGCACATCACATTAGAGAGCCATTGGGATTCCTGTCACTGGCTTCTGTGGTTGCATGGGCAACCCTCCTCCAATCTCACCACTGGGGACATCTGCCCTATGCTCGTACCTCATATGAGAGCAACAGCAGGTAACATAGACAGTAGGAGAAGTGGGCAGAAATCCCCTACAGACTCCTAGAAAAAAGGCTAACATCAGCACTGCCTCTTTGGCTTATCTTCTTTGAGGAGTTTAATGACTACCTTATTCCAACACAGCAAAGCATTTTTCACACAGACTTAACTCTGGGTGCTGGCATAATTCAGTGGAAATCAGACTACTCGTATAAGGGCACACTTGTAGAAATTAGCTTAGAGCTATCTTTGTGTTAAACCAAAGGCAAGCTTCTTGATCAGCCAAATCCTATTTGAAATTCTCAAAGCCTTGTAGATGGTCACAATAGGAACTGCTCACAATAGGCACTAGCCACATCAAAGTGCTGCTGTCTCAGAAGCAAACAGGAAACATTCTAAAAGAATTGAAGTAGTAATAAATAACATCACGATCTTGGGATTTTGCAAGGGCAAAGAAGGAAAATGAGGCACTTCCCTTCTGCAGGAATTATTGCAAGGAAAGAGACTCGTTACATCTCCATTCTTTTTCCTAGAGTCCTCACATGAAGAAAACAAACCTGCCTAATTGCAAAAGTAAAGCTAGGTGTGGCTGGAAGTCTTGGAAGGATTTTGGCTGAAGATACAAAAACCTTAGCAAGTTCTGCAAAGTATTCCAGCTGGAATCTCCTGGAGACATGCTGAATGTTTTGTATTCCGCCACCTGGCCCAAGCCCACCTAACATTTAAACTGAGCTATATTAGTCAAGAAGGAATTAAATTATTTGATTCGAAACCCGGAACACCGAGCACAATAAAATGGAAAAACAGGCAGCTATAGAAATGCTGCTGTTGTCCTTCTCTGCAGACATGCAATGCCTGACTTCAGTGGAGCTACTAGTGAGAGAGAGCAGCACGTTTTATATATATTGCCACATCTTAGAGTGTTGAAAATTGAGGCAGCTCCATTGAAGTCAGTCATTGCATAACTGTAAGGTGAGACAAGTGCTTCCTGACACCTGCATGATTAAAAGACAGCCACCTTGTGAGTACTGAAGTCCTAATCTAACACTACCCTCAGCAGAGATGCTGGCAAATATGGAGATATGGAGTCTTTTGAAAAGGAATGCACAACTGCTAATTACTATCTTGTTGACCCTATTAAGGTGCTATAGCTGTGCAGAAATGTGAGCAAGGCCTTCAAACAAATGCCAAAGAAGTTTGTTGGATGCATATACAGCATTGCTAATTCAGAGATTTATTTTGTTGCCTATTAATTGGGTTCCTTGTTTTAAAGGGAAAATAAACATTCATTTTTGTAAAATTATGCTTGTTTGCTGGAAATTAATTTTTGTTTAGTTATAACAAAAAGAATTGTTGAGGGCAATACAATAATAAGTGTTGATGTAAGTTTGAATAAAGAGATTGAGACAGCAAATAAGAATTGTAAATTTATCTATTAATTGATGTGGCTATTATAGGTTTAGGGAGTGAACAAGATATGAAATATGAAAAGATATTGAAAGGAGAAATTCTTTGGACCATTTGTCAGTATAGTTTCTGGTATGTGAATTCATTATATTTCTCTCTATCTAGCTAAAAAGACAAACTATTTGGTTTTTTTTGCAATTAAAAGAAAAAAAAAAAAAACAAACTAACTCTCCCTCAGTTTCTACTTAACTAAACCTTTGACTTTATATAATAGTGGTAAAGTGGCTGGTCAAAATTAAGCTAGAAGCTACAACTATAATAGTAAGGTAAATGTGGCAATCATGAAATTTTATCGATGCAACTTTATTAGAACTATAATGCATCTCAGTGCACAAGTTAGCACAAACAAGATGATGAAATCTTATTCCAGTCCTGTGTAGCTGTTTAATTAAAGTCTGAAAAAAATATTTTTTCTCTTTCACACAAATATTGTAAAAATAGTATATATTTTTTTAAACAAGGTGTTATTAAAATTAACCAAGAAGCCAGCTGGATTCCTTCTTTAACACAATTGTTTCCCTCCTTCACGGATGTATTATTTTTAAAACATTAATAAAAAGATAAGGATTCTGAAAAAAAAAATATTCACAATCATATTTTACTCCTCTACTGAGTGGAGAAAGAAATAAAAAAGGGTACATTATGTCTGAGATGTGCTGTACACACAGCTTGCTCTGAGAGCTGCACTCCATGATAGCATCCTGTGTGTGTACAGCACCAAGACAGAGAGCAGTCTTATGTAAACCCAGCAGCAAAGGTGCTCTACATGATATCTGCTGGGACCAAGCCCAGACAAGCAAACATGCTGGTGTATGGTTTGGAACCTGATTAAACCAAGAGTTTAGAAACCACCTGAAAATCCTGCTGAGCATGTGACATTTGTCAAACAAAAACTCCCCAGTAGCTGTGCCAGCACTGCTCCAACTACTCCCCAGACCAATACCCATATCTGCTTCTACAACATCACTGAACCATAACAAATGACAGCTCTTCATAAATAAATAATGGTAATAAACCAAAGGCTTGCCTAAAGCCAGCTGCCACCATGATACTTACATAGCTCTGCAAGGAGGACTGTGAGACCTAGGAAACACATTGAGATTCAGAGCTCAACCTAGAAAAGAGAAGGTTAAGAGGTGATTTGATCACAAGTTATATGCAAGGAGAGAAGACCTCTTATGCCGGACAGCACTTTGATTTAACAGATAAGCTAGATAAAATGAAAATGAAACAAACTTAAAATGCAGATGTGTGAACATTTTTCATGCTAGTCTACTATTGGAAGAGATCTTGAGGTATGTGACAGTTTACCCAGCTCTTGAATTCTTTAAATCTGAGAAGCTTGTCTTCCTATGAGATGTAATGTAATTCAAGTACATTGTCATTAGGCAGGATGCATGATTCGTTCAAAGGAATTTTATGCCATGCCTTTACAAACTTTAAACCAAGTGATCATAAATGTTCCTCTCTGGCATTAACATCTGTAAATGAATTGCTGCCCTGATGAAGTCAACAGCAATTTTCACCCTGCTTTCTGTTGGAGCAGGATTTTACTCCACAAATGCATAAATGTTTGCTGTTTGTGTTCTTGACTCCGATGGCTTGATATCACCTAACTATAATTGGTGATTGCTTATCTACTAAATTACAAAGTGACTCTGGTGATGCCTCTTAACCATTACAGAAGCTGATTACTTGTATGCATGGCCCATTACAACTCATTCCTTTTTTACTACGTTCACCCTTTTCCTCTCCCCTTACTAAGATATATGTTAATACGTTGGTGAAGATAAGAGTGGTTCATTGGACCTCATATAAATAGCTTGTAATGGAATAAAATTTACTTAAGAACTTTTGAAATTGTGTTACTATTAAAAATGAAGCATGCCCATTATGTTTACCAACTTGCTGGTAGCTTCACTTGAGATCCAGCTAAATCTCTGAGATTAAAAGTTCCCACTAGCTGATTTGCTCTTGACTTTTATCTCACAGTTCATGTCATTTGCTGTTCTGTGAAGTTCTGAAGTAGTTTTTACAGAACAAAATAGCCCTCCAAGGCAAAAGTGAATGCTTGAAATAATAGACCAACTATGCATTTCTACAGGTGCTAGCTAGGAATAATGTGAAGGAACATCATTAGAAAATGTAGCATGCTTGTGAATGGAATCCCTTCTACCAGTAAGACTATTATTATGGGCAATTAGATTTACAAAGCTATTGACTGGTTGCATGAAAGGTCTGCTTTTTTTCTCTCTCTGACTACCAGGTACATGATGGACGAGGCAGGCGTGCACAAAGCACAATACATCATTAATCTTTGGGTCTAATGGGGTTATAAGTACTGTGTCAGTACATCAAACTCACACATCCATCTGCCTATCAGAACAGATTACACACTCTACAGCACTCAAGAGACAGAAAACCGATACCAACTGATAGGCCATCAGGACATCTTTAAAGTCTGGCATAATTATCTTACCGCCACTTAAGTTATGTTAGTCTGTAGCTTTACTTCTTCAGGAATTTGAGAGGAATAGAGCTAAAAATGAAAAATTCCATAAAATCATGAAGTCCATTCTGCCAAAGAAAGGAAAAATCCTTACTCATATTTTTATTATTCTGAGGAAAAATAATTCTCACAGGAAGTTTTTGCAGAGTGGTATGAGATCTATCACAGATATACAATATAAACCATATGAATGCAATGCCTTGAGATATGAAATCAATAATTACAGGATAAGCAAACAAAAGGAGAAAGCTTGTATATTTCTTTACTCCTATGTTTTACCATGCGTAAATCATAGAGGTGATTATTACACTTAACAGGAAACCTTAACTTATATTTTAATTTGATATTTTACAACTGTCCCTGTTTAAAATGCCATGTAAAATAAGTGTTATTTGCTTTAAACACTACCAAGATGTTATGCTAGAAATGTACATGATCAGTGTAGTTTTTGCATGTACTTTAGGAGAGATGGCATATGAATTTAAGGTACAAGACAACACAGCAGTGCTTGAGCTACTGTCTGTTATAACAGTGTTAATAGTGCTCCCTGGGCATAGTGCCATAACTCGTAATCATTTTGCTTCCAGTTCATCAAACTGGCTTAAACTGGGTCTTTGAATGCTAACTCGCATTTCTATATATGGCACTGCAATGTGTCACATGCTTTAAGTGGAACTGCTAGATGTTGGAAGGGTAAGAGGAAAAAAAGATGCCAGGTTAGACACAAGATAGTCACAGTGCTGAGTCTGTTAAATATACGGTGAAAAAGCTGACCAGAAAAGTAAGTGGAAAGCAAAGTTTATAGTCAATGGATTGCTATTAATGTCCTTATTTTGATGTAAAATATGAGTATGGGATTTTTTTCATTGATACTTGATTTTTTTATTCTTGAAAATAAAATTGATTGTCAACTAACATATTTCTTTTATTTTGTTAATGAAAAAAATAAATTTGATATTCTCTGTAGATCCCCATGCTGTGTCAGAGATTACAGGTATGTAATCTCTGTGCATACTTTTTTGGATGACATTTTATTTTGGAGGACAGAGTTGTACTTTCTTAAGTTCCTATGTAGTCTAATGCTGAAATTAACTGCATATGTAGAATTTATTTCTTATTGGTCTGTTTTAATAACATATAATATTTTCAAGGTTTTTTTTATTTTGTTTAAATAATAATAACCAAGGAACATTCTCTTAGGTCTGCTATTTTGGTCTTCTAGATCATATATCAAGCATAAAATTGATGAAGATGAGTGACCTCTAACTTACATACATGCATCCTAAATTCTGCAAGTTAGTCTAGCTGAGTTTTGAATAATAATAAAGATTCTATTCACTCGGGTTTTTTTACTTACTTTTTTGCTTGTATTACAAAGTCAATTCCTATACTATGTGCAATCTGGTTTAGCCATATTTAGACACATTTTTCACTTTGTGGGGCTTACTGAACACAAGGGAAGGATGCAGATTCAGGCTGACATTCAATACTGACATTCTTCCCATGTGAAATTTTGGAGATGCATGTTACGCTACACTGAATTTGAGAATTGTTTCTCTGGTTATTCAATGCAGTGAAACTGTGCATTAGAGGACTTGGGAATGAAAAGGAGTGGAAAAAACCCCCAAAATTTACACATTCCCTTTAGTTCATAATACTTGATGCACCATCTACTGAATATATTGTGCCCACTCCCACCAATATTATATTAACCTGTTTCTTTATTATGCATACCACAGTAAGGATACATGGGAATATGGCATACTCTGTAATATCTTCTAAAAAAAAAATACCTTTTATAGTCAGTCCATCCTAACAGTTACTTTCACAAGTGATTAATATTATGGATACTACATGGTACATTTTTATCTCAAAAATCTCTTGTTCGTATAGCTGCTTTTTAATAATAATTTTGTTGAAAAATTCTTTCTCTTCTTCACTTTGACTTGTAAAAAACACAGTTTTTTCAAACTTTGTCAAAAATACAATCTTAAAAACTTTCTCACTTATTTCCTGCTGGTCCCAATGTGGAGTATTGACTAAAGCTCAGTAATTTTATTCTTATTTTATGGAAACATAAAACAAATGAATATTAATTAAAGTCCTAAGTGTCACAAAATGGTTGCGGAGAGTAAAACCAAATAATCTTTCACAACCCAGTGGCAATATTCATACTGAATACCACAGTCTTTTGGATCTGTATTCTGAAATCTATTGACAAACAGTGCATTGGAGCTGCCATTCCATGATTTACTTTTTTTAAGTGGCAATTTAAAGAAATGTATTATTGAAAAACAAATTTTAAAACCTGTCTTTTCACTTCACTATGACACCATCTGAAAGCAATTTTCTAAGCTTCTTTAAAATATTTTGAATTTCTGTGTGGGGTGTATTGTCTCTTCTGCTATTTCTTTAAATGAACTTCACTGTACTAAGTCAGGAAATGATCACTTCAAGTTTCCCAAGCAGCCAAAAAGCCTTTACCTTTACACAACAAAATAATACCTCCCTTGCTGCTGTCTCAAAGTCCTTTGCAAACATAAAATTCCAAACAGCTCTGTGTGAGAGAGATAAGTACTGTACCATAATCAACTCCATTACCTATAAAGCTTTACTGCTCAGCTCTAAGTAGAATTTCTACAAGCCAACAGCTTCAAATTAAAGGTGATCTAATTTTTTTATTCTGTGGATTTCTGTATACAGCATGTGTTGACCTACTCACATTTAACTTGTTTTTATCCTTGTTTGTAATGTTACTTTAAATTATCACTTGTGGTACACAGCAGCTGGTCCCCAGGACAACAGAGAGTACATTTTCTGGTGACTGGGTAGCAGAACTGAATGATCTTGAACTTCCTACGGTCATCCATAGCCTTTCCCATATCCACCAATCTCTCAATATCTGTCACTGTAAGCCCTGTTTTGCTTTTTTCCTAGAGTAATGGAGAACTCAAGTCAGATGTGATTTTCCTTCTGCACCAATTTCATTGCAGTTAAGAGCCTTCTCTTTTTCCTTTGTTTTTCTATTTTTACTCCTCAAAAACTGTTGGTGAATTATATTGTATGTTGAAAATCATGAGTATGGATTGATCAAAATTATATGTGAATATCCCAAAATTGAGGAAATATTAAACAAACAAGCAAACCACAAGATCCTCACAACTTTCAGTGTTCTATTTTGATATTTTGAAAGTCACTTTAAAAATTATTTTTAGTTTTGAAAATGTTACTGCTATTTAAAAGTAAAATAAACGTTGGAAATTAATTGAACATCAGTCTAAAAAAAACTTAATTTTTAAAATTCTGCTAAGAATATCAGAAATATGATCTCTTCAGGTCAAAGTGAAGGGAGCCAAGGGAAAAAAAGTCACTATTGTACATCTGTAATACAGGACAGCATATCATAACAGAGAACAATAAGCTCTTTCTACTCAGCTAACCTTTGCTTTCTTTCTTCTTTTGCACTGGACTCACTACGGTAGGGTTTCCAATCTTTATCCCTTGAATTCATTTGTCCAGAATTTAAGTCTATCTGTAATAGAATAAGTGAATCATGAATGTTTCCTATTGTGAGTAATTTTTTCTATCTTTTCTGATCAAGATGTATATGAACAGAAAGTTTCCCCACTCTGTCATATTCATCTAATCCTTTCTTCTACTTTCTGACTTAAAATTTTTAGAAGAGAGAACACTCACTTTCTAACTCATTTTAGGGTCACTGGGTTCATCACATTTCTTTCACATTTGCTTATAACATGATCTCCAGAAGTATAGAGAAATTCCCAGCCTCCTGCTGTGGGTTCCAGTCAGGTAATGAAAGGGCTTTGTTTTCATTTTTGTCCTTCCTGACCCTGGCAGATAGCTTGTATGTGCACATGCTTCTTGTTTTGATTCTTATATAGTTGTTCCAGGTTTTTCCTGTCTTTTCATTAATCTGGAGAATAACAAATCCATCTTTTTTTTTTTTTTTTTTTTTTTGTATGTGTATGGAGATTTTGCTCTTTTCCTTTATCCTTTCACTGTTTCTTCATTGCCAAGTCACTTCGATCATGACTGAAGTAATTTCTGACGGTTGTAGAAAGAGAACAAGCGTTGATGGGGAATTATGTTTCTACTGAATCCAATGAAAATGAGCTGACCTGGAAGAACCAACAACTCTTTTCCTCCATTGTTACATTTTTCCCCCCATGCTTCCAACTCAGCATTTCTCTTAAATATCTGCATCTAAGAGAATTTGAGGGCACCTAATGGAAGTGCCGGTAGCTTACAGTTGTGGTCCTTTGGGACTTCCCATACACAACCTCTTGCATAGTGAGTTGTTTGGTAGCCTAAATGCATGGCACTATATCTGCAGTCAAAAGCTGCCCAAAGGATCCTTATTAAAGGCCAAAGGAAATAAATGTACATGGAAAATTTTTGAAGGTTATCTGGGGACCATGCCATGTCCAAGAATGGTCACATGCCCAAATGTCTCCTACCCTCCCCTCCATATGAATACTTGAGCTTACAGAGGACCCTTCAGTGGGTATGGAGCAAAGGACTGTATTGCTGAGGGTCATGTTACTGATGAGAGGTGGATATTAAACCTAATTCTGTAGAGTGTATATTCCTGTGAAATCACTAATTGCCATTAAAAACATTGAGTCAACACCCATTGAAATCAGTGTATGGATTTCCATCATTATTAGTGGGCTTTGGTTAGGTTCTGCATTATATACTTTAACTTTTGAATCTGTTAGATTTTTTAAAATGTGCTTGTTTAAAAACTAGGGTTTTTTAAAATCTATTTTTCTTTGTTGAAACAGCCTGTAATCTCACCCCCAAGAAGGCTTGTGTGCTTTCGAATCCACACATTATTAAGCATAGATTTGTTTTAGTTTCATAAAACATTAAATAGTCTTCCAGATAAAACTGGTTTTGTTTCCCTCATGTACAGAACTGCTTGGTTGTCATAACAATGAAAGCCAAAATAAAATATGTGAAGTGTAATGAAATCACTCAGTTTATTTGTAGTGCTAATGGCATTATTCAGTTCAAAGGATTTTATTAAATCATTGAAAATTCAGGAACAAATGATGAATAATCTAGGAAGACCTGTTAAGTAGCAGATGTGACTGAAAGATTGACACACATTATGCCAATTAAAATACAATACTATAGCTCACTGGGTAAAGAAGAGATAATGGTGCAGCCCAAACCTAGATTTACTGAACGTTACTTTCAACAAAACTGCGGGTGAAGACAATGAGTTTTGTCTGTGCTAGAAATACAAGATCCATCCCAGAATGACTTCCATGGTCCCAAGCTGACAACAAACTTCTTGGAAATAAGACTTCTGATCAGCACTGTGTTCATTATGACAATCTAACATCTTCCATTTGTTAGTGTTTTGTCCCTCTAAAGCCAGTGAGATTTTTGTCATTTAGTTTAACTGGAGCAGGGTAAAAGCTCTGTTTCTGCAGCCCAGCTACTGAGCAGGCTGGCCCCAAATTGCCAAAGTGTGTAAGCTTGTGAATAGACCTATTGACTTAATTGACATTGCTCATCTGCCAAAAAATAAGAGGAACAATTCCTTCTTGGCTCAAACCTTGCCCACTCATGCACTTCCTGGATCCCAGAGCACATAGTTTACTTTCCAACATGCTCTGGTGCACTGAAGGAAGCCAGGCTATTATTCTGGCCTAAATATTCACAGCTTAATTGAAAAAATTAATTTCTCATAAACTGAGATAAAAATGTGTCACCTGTCAGTTGCTAATTTTATTCCGTGACAAAGCAGGAGGGGACCAGACTGTGGTGGCCCTTAATGAAAGTCAGCAGGGTGGGAGTGGTATATAAGAAACTCTCTCAGTTTAGATAGTCACTTAGGGACACCCTGCAACAAGACGCTTTCATTTTTTCCCAAAGAAGGTTTGTGCTATTTCTACAAGGGACAGTCTGTCACTGGAAGAAGAAGACCAAAGAGCGAAATTCAAAGAGAGTAAAATAGTCAAAGGGATAGCTGTTTTATTCAAGCTGTTTGAACCTGAACAAACTTCCATTTGTGAGCTAAGGGCCTGATATAAAGCTCAGAAAAAATCATTATAATATTTCCGCTGACTTCTGTAACTTTGAATGTAGCCTTTCTCAATTTTTTAAAACTCATTTTACAATCCTATTTGCCCACCTCTAATTCAGCTGTGAAATCACATCCATTACAAGTAGCATCAATTTGAAAGTGTAATTGCCCTACTGTGGAAAATTATGAGAAAAGATTAATTAATATCTTCATATCTCATACTTTATATAATGACTTTGTCATAACTGAAATTGTCCTTCCCTTATCATATTGTCATTTTCTTCAGGTTTTAACTGGATGTTACACTTGAAAAGGTCAATTGTGGTAAGTTTAAAAAAATACATGAATCTGTAGATGAACAACTGACATTTAACCTAAGTGATGATGCTCTGCTTTTAACTGTGAGTCTGTTTAATTTAAAACCAATTTGGATCCATTCTTTGCTTCATTGCCGTGCAGTGAAACTCCAAAAATTTGACCCAAGTGAGTATAACTCAAGATGGAATAGATGCTTAGTAGATATATATGTCTCAGTCTCATAAATTCTCTGGAGCAAATGTAACTGAATTAAGGGAGAGGTTTTTTTTGTTGGTTTCTTTTTATTTTTTTTTTTTTTATATATAATTTACTTCTTTTGTTACTGTGTGATACTTCTAGGTAGAAAATACCCCGTAAGCCTGTTTCCTGAAGAACATCTCCCTCTGATTTACTGACTCTACTTTGTCAAGTGTTTGCTTCCATGGCAATTGACTGCTGTTAAGTGTTGGTGCTGAGTAAACTTTTAGTAAAATCTTAACATGTTCTAATTGAGTCTGAGCTGGAGTGACAGCTTCATAACGCTGTTTTATCCACTGATGATCCATTTAAGGCTTTATTCTGACATCATTGACTGGGAGTAGTATCCTTGCTGAAGTCAGCTGAGCTTTTAACAAAATAAGGGAGTGTTTGAATTGAGCAGGCACCTTAGGATCTACCACTAATCTATCTGTTTCTTTCTTATGTACCTTGCTGTGTAGTACAATGATCTTTGTTCATTGTGGCCATCTGGACAATAAGTGGGAGATGAGTGATGGATTTGGGGGTTGGGGTTTTTGCTCTGTTTTTAGTGTTTTCTGGTTTTATGCAATGTAGAGGTATGCATTATGGACATGTAGGCCTCCAGTCATTTTTCTTCTCAACTATCTGGGCCTACTTAACTGCCTTCTCACTGGCTGCTTGTCCTACACCTGCAAACAAAAGTCCTTCAGCTTCTCCTCAGTGTCTTCCTGCAACTTCCTGGAATTCCCAATGCAATGTTTCTCTTCCACACAATAAACATCCCACAGAAACACTTTCTAGGGCATCAATATTTCTTCATTACATCAATTTGTCTTTGGGTGTCTCCCCTCTTAACTGTTGAACACATACTGTCATCACCACCTGCCAGGGAACCTGTGCAAGCAGTTGCCCAGGTTGCTTCAGGCTGTCCTCTTCCCTGTTTATGGCATGATGAGGGATAGCACACACACACACAGAGCTATCATCAGAAAACCTTGTTAGCTTTGAACATTAGACTATGTGAGGTAACAACACAGTTTTTATCACAGTTTGACATCATATTTAGCTTTTGTTCAAAGAAGTATGCAGGTTCTTCCTGTCCCAACAGCTCCCTTGGTCATTACCCTCAATAAGAGAATGACCAGAGAAAACAAGGATAATGGCACAGCTCCAATCAGTTTGGTACTAGGATATTGTGTGGATTGCTTTTATTTATTTTTTTATTTAGTCATACTCATATCTCCTAAATATATCCCAGCAGTGAGCTGCCTACATCTCATTTCAAAATTTCTTGCAATTACAGAAGATTATATGTCACTCAAAGCTGCAGCTGTCCCAGCTGTCTTTTACTGAATGACCCACGGTCTCACCTGTGGTAGATTTACCATGTGCATGTGAGTTCAAGCACTCTATCGTAAGAAAATTATGTAGCAAGTCTGACTCAAATGCAGGTGCTACATCTTATGTGTGCAGAGTTTCTATCCAGATATTCTTTAAGAAATTTCAGATTACTCTCTTTTATCAGATTTTTTTTCTTTTTTTTTTTTTTTTTTTTTTTTTCAGTGTCTAATTTTCCTCTCTATTTATCTGTGTACTAATGCACTCCGGGATCCTGTTCCCCACTCTTGTCTGTCTCATAGGACCACTGCTTAAGTCTACAGTGTCACAGAGCAGCTGGTAGTATTTAGTGACCTCCTGCTCTATTAGATGGAAATTGATTTTCCTCTTCCAAGCAAGTGAAAAATCCATAATGTTCTCCATCTGCTTCACTTGTGCAGCAGCACTAGCAATTGAAGCTATAGGAGAAGATACAGCTCTTCAGACATCATAAATGGCAGTATCTTTTCTGACTATCAGAGTAAGCAGACTGTGGTAAAGCAGTTGTCTGGCAGTTTGAAGAAAAACTGTTAAGGACCCGCTGGCTGAGGTTTCTTTGGTAATGTTTGTTGCTGAATTTCCCCAATAATGTTTCACCACTGCAAAGTCACCTATAACTAGTTATATTATGTGGCCACAAATATTAAAATCTGAAAGTAATTGCAAACCATAGCCCCACCCAGCTTAATTGGAGAAATACTACCCAAACAACAGTACACAGATGTGCTTCTATGAGTAGAAAGCAAAACCAGATTTTATTTCGGTAGCAGCAATTTACCTACTCTGCCTCAGATTTAAATCATATAAAAATCAGTATTTATGACAAGTATTTGCAAAGAAGTATTCAATGCAATCATGTAGTGCCACATCTTTGGGAACTTTCAGTTACCATCAATCTGGACAGCAGTGCTTTTTGAGCACTCCCTCACGTTAAGGGTGCTGTTCATGAGTTCAGGGTGCATATTTTCATCTTTGTTTTCATCTATGTATCTGAAACTTTGAAATTAATTCCTGTTTGATATAAGAATGACCAAAAATATCAACTCTCCAGCATTACTGTAAAGCATTTTTGCTTGATCTTACTTTTCTTCACAGCAGCTCAAAACCAATTAGTAGCTGAGGAATATGTGCACCCAGATACAATATAACATATTTTTATGTGAGGAGAGGGAATGGAGTAGAAACTTGGTCAACATAGCTCACCTTGATGGGTGCTTAACTGTATGAGGTATTCAGACACCACAGTCTTGGGTGCAGTATAAGAACCTGCATAGAATACAATGAAACTAAAAAGGAGGGAGTATATAGGCACATTAACACTACGGGGAAACATTTTCCAACAATATAAAGAATATATTTTCTGGGAACAATGTCCCGTTTTTTTTTATAGCAAGCCAGATGGAAATTTTCAAGCAGATATACTCACAGTAAAAGAAATTAACCAGACATTCATATGATAACTACTGAGGTTTGTCACAAGATAGCCAGCCTGCAGTCATCAACAAGTAGGAGTATTGTTTAAACATAAACAATTCCTTATTTTATCATAATTTCCAGTGAAATCAACACCCACCAGGGGATGAAAAAAAATATAGGGAATTGGTAAACTGAAGTTCCAGTTCATCCAGTCACCTTTTGTGCAATCTAGATATATGATATAGCATCAAGACTGTTTATGGTAGCGTATTTTCATGTAAAATGGGAATATGAATATCGCTCTTCTTTATCCCACAGAAGAGCTATAAAATATCACATAAGCTGTAACTTTCAGGAAAGATAATAAGAACAAAATGTTATGTAGGGTACTATCACCAGTTCGATTGTGTTTTCATTTTACCTATTAATGACCATGCTTTCTTGAAATAGGGACAGGTTTTGACATTGTGGGAGTCAGGTTTTCTCTTGAAGCAGGGCACAAAATGAATGGGCTGCAACCATTCTAAGTGTTATATCTTTGACATTCAAGTTTTTTGAGGAGACCGAGCCCATGGGGGAGCCCTGCAGAGATAGTGGTTCCTATGAGGGAGATCCAACTCTATCAGTCTGGACTTATGCAGAGGCAACTACACAAGCATGACTGAGGTGTTAAAGACCAGACAAAAACTGAAGAGGGAATTGTGGCATGCATGAAATTCAAAAATTCTCCTGCTTTTTAGTGCCTACTGTATCACCTCCAAAGTTACTCTTTAAAAACCTGTGTGCTCATGAATGTATTTATACATATAGAGATGACTATACATGTGAGATTAAAGTAGGCATGGGCTAATACTGTGTGTATCTGGAAAGGCATGGCTAGCATTCAAAAAAAAGGTATGTCCTTTACTATCTGAATTAGATAAAAGTTTAAAATAAAAACAAAGATTATTAGGATTTTGAAATGGGTTAAACTTTGAAATTCACACCTGAAGAAGTTACTTAAGTTAAAAACAAGTATCTCTACTTTTATAGTCTATCTGTGAAAGTGGGCAAGTAAGTCCCCTACTACAATGATTCATCTAGCCCAGCATTCTGCCCTGACAGTAGCAAAAAGAGCCATTAGTCAGCAAGGGGAAAATGAATCTGGGCAGTTTTTCAAATCCATTCACCTGTTCTTACTGACATCCGCAAACACTGTATTAGGCACATCAGAAAGTGCATGCCTCCATATTCCCTTTATATCTGTCTATAGTCCTGTTCATGAATTTGTTCACTCTTTTGCAACCACTCATCCTTCTGTCTCTACAGCCTCCTGTGGCAGCAACACCTAAAGTTCATCAATTGCTCTCTAAAGAGGCATTTTATCTGTCTGTTTTAAACTGATGTCCCACTAGTTTTAACAAGTACCCTTAATACTGCAAGATGGGGTGAATAACAGTCCTGCAGTCACGCAATCCACCACTTCCATCATCTTGTAAACCTCAGTCAGACTGCCTACGCACATTATCCTCATCAAATTTAAGATCCCACAGTGTTTGACCTCTTCACATATGTCGATGCTTCAAAACTTGACTGTGTTTCTTGCCTTTCTCTGCTTCCAACTCTGCTACATCTGTCTTGGGATGTGGAGACCAGGACTGCATAAAATATTCAAGACGTGTTCCAAAGAATTTTACAGAGGCAGAACAGAACCCTCTGCCTTGTTCTCAAAGTCCTTCCTGACAATGTTCAACAGGACACTTCTGTTGGCCGCTGCCACACATGGACGTGACCATTTCAGAGAACAACCATGGTGACTCCACAGCCTCTTTCCTGAGTTGTCCCAGTTTAATTTCAGCAGCAAATGTTTTAGATTATTTAACTGTAGTTTGTCCTGGGTTTGAGTGAGTTGTGGAGTTTTTGGGTAGCAGGGGAGGGGACTACAGCAGTGTCCCCCTGTGAGAAGATTCTTGAAGCTCTCCTGGCTCCAAGTCAGACTCACCTCTGGCCAGGGC